AAGATGTGATGTTAAAAAAATACTGTGTTTATCAAGATACATCATGTAAAGGTACAAATCCCCTATGATAAATGTGATCATTATGTAAATCTAAATTGTACCAATAAAGTTTAAAATTATTTTAAAAATTAAAAACAATTTAAAAGTACTGTGTTTATATTTGCTATTATCTCCAGACCTGTCAGCCAGTCTTTTATTCTAAGAGATGTCTGATGTTGGTGTAACTTAAGAAACTTAAAATTGAAGTGTAAACATTAACTATGCCATCTTTTACATTTTTAAAGATACTTCTCAATTAAATGGCAAAAAATGGCTGAGGATTTAGCTCAGTGGGACCACGCCTGCCTTGCAAGTGCAAGGTCCTGAATTTGATCTTTGGTACCAATAAATAAATAAATAAATGGCAAAAAAAATCAATGGAGCTATATTCGATAGTTCCCTAAATCACTCCTCAGCTTTCTGTAACTATTTTAATTCTCTAATCTTCTATGAAGTGTCAAGCATAACTAGCCACAAGCCTAGTACTGCTAAGTTGATCTATATTTTTCAGGGATAAAAAGGTATCAGTGTATCTGTGATTATCTGTTTAGATCACACCAGTAGAATCTATACAAAAATCATCATTATTCTTTTCTAAACATAGCACTAACTTTGATAGCAAATGACAGATTGGAATTAAGTGAAAAATCCTATGAGGTTTCAGGAGAAAGTCAGAAACATTATGAAGACAGGAGACAGGGTTTTTTTATTTCTTCATTTTGCAGAACAACAAAATGTCACCTACATTAAGATTTTAGATCATTTGCTCACTTGCTACCTTGGAAAGGTGACCTGCTTTTCCCTTTCCAGTAAGTTTGGAAATTATGTTAGGATGAGTAGTCACCAAAAGCCCATTATAAATACAAATGCTTTACCTGTTGGTTTTCCTAATAATTTAGAGAAATCTAATAGAATCATTTTTGATAAATAGAAATTTAATATTGAAATTACAGGTGAGTTAGAGTTTTACAGAAAAAGAGAACTGTAGCAGTACATTTCTGCATCTGACGCACAAAAGGCATGCATTGGACAGAGCAGGTCTGCTGCTCTCATGCAGGTCAAACCAAATCTCTTTTCCTCTCTGGAGTGAGTTTGAGGAGATAACAGATGAACTAAGGCAAGGGCAATGTCAAAAATAAAGGGAGAGATAGATTAATGATGTGAGAATTATTATTTAACAGACTCAGATGTTTGTATGGCAACTTGCTGCACTCTCAACCCAAGCCTGAGAAAAAAGGGCAGAGGGAGATGAAAGAAGGCAGTGAACAGAATCACTAGAAGGTGGAGTGCTGTCAGTGGTACTAACTTCCAAGAAGTGAATATTTTTTAAAAAAGAGCATTACAGGCTAGGGATTTAGCTAAGTGGTTCTGCTGCCTGCCTCGCAAGTGCAAGGTCCTGAGTTCAATCCCCAGTACCAAAAAAAAAAAAAAAAAAGAGCATTACATCTGCCAGTCCTTTAGTATTTTCTGCTTATATTGATTTCTGTAAATTGTCAGTATTTCAAGGTTTACAGATTTTCTTCAGGCTACTTGAAGGTTCTTGATTTATTGTAAAGGTAATATAAATCTCTTAGAGAAAATAAATTAGTCTAGCCTTAGGAAACAGCACATGAAACTTCTTTCAGTAAGCTCCTGAAGGCAGTGAGCCATATCTGTCTCTTTCTTTTTTCTACCATGACTTTAGACTTGCTGTGCAGGATAAAAATGCCTGGTAACCTCTTGATTAGGGTTCTCTAGAAGAACAGAACTAACAGAATGTGTATATAATTATAAGAGGGGATTTATTACATTGCCTTACATGATCAGAGTCTGGAGAGGACATAAATAGTCTCATAATGGCAGTCTGCAGGATAGAGGTGTGGGAAAACCTGTACCTATTCAGTCCAAGAAGCTGCAAGCCTCAGAAAAAGAAAGACTAATAATGCAGCCCTAGTTAGAGGCTAAAGTCATGGAAACTCCCTGGAGAGTTACTGATGCAAGTCCATATTCAGAGGCTGAAGAATGTGGAGTTTGATGTCTGTGGGTGATAATAACAGAAACACACACACACACACACACACACACACAAACACTCACTCAAGAAGCATCAAGTGGGCAGAAGTGTATATGTAAGCTTCCCATTTCCACATTTTTGTTCTGTCTGCAACACACACACCCCAGCCTATTGGAAATGCTGCCCACATTCAGGGTAGGTCTTCCTCCATTTGCTGACCTGCACACCAATTCTCTCTGCAGGCACTCTCACAGACAGATATACTGAGAGGTGTGGTCTACTAATTTTCTAGGTATCTCTCAACCTAAGCAAGCTGACAAACCAAGATTAACCATTACATCAGTCCAACCAGTCACATTTAAAATCAAAGGTATAGCCTTTCCTAGCTTTAATGGACTGTTTCTGTCAATTCTCCAAGGCTCCAAAACAAATCTTTTGAGTCTTTTTTTTACATAGTGAAGCCATCATTGTATTCTTAGAACTCTCCTTCCATGAAATCTGATCTCCTCCCTACCCTCCATTCTATCTCCAGTGCCATTTAGTCTGAAAATTACTGTCCTCTGCCCATATTGCCTATCTCTCTCCCTGTTTTCAATAAATCCTGGACACTACCAAGTTAATCAAGCTAAGGACATTAAGATGAATACATTATGGAGAGGATCATTTTAACTCCTCCTCAGAATAAAAATAATGGCAGAGGCAGACTACGGCAGAGACATCCCTAGATAAGAACTAAGGAAAGTCACTCATTAAGCCAGGAAGATATTCCTAGAAAAATGTCAATTTCTAATCACTGCCAACAGCCCTAATATTTTATTTCTATTACTCCTAGATATATTTACATCAATTGGAACTAGGGCTTAGAAGAATCACTGTGCCTTTAAAGGGCAGTATGGAAGAACATCCAGAATACTTTAACATTAACAAGCCTGGTGGGAGAGGAACTTCCAACAGCAGACGTGAAAGAGGCAGACAACCTCTATGGCTTTCAGAAAACAAGGCAGAGCTAACTACAATTAGCATGAGGTCCTCACAATCACATGCTTGTTTGTTCCAAAAAGAACAGTTAACTAATGTGAGCAAGTACAAATTCAAGATCTTACATCCAATTTTAAACCAGTCTTCCACAAAAAAAAATCTTTACTGAGGGCTGGGGATCTAGCTCAGTGGTGCTGCACCTGCCTTGCAAGCACAAGGTCTTGAGTTTGATCCTCAGTACTAGAATCTTTATTCCTCATTAACAAGAGTCCTCAAGAGTTACCTCCCTCTGCAATCCTCTTTTATCCCTGGAATGACCTTTCCTATAACCAGCCCCATGTTCCCTATGAAGATGGGTCCTACTACCTCTCCCTTCTCTAAACTCTCATTTGGCTCTTAATATACACATATTCCACTTTCAAACACTTTTCTGGATCTGTATCTTCATGTCCCAGACAAAACCACTAGTTTCTTAAGAACAGATTCTGTTGTAATTAGATATAAATTCAATCGCACCTAGTTTGAGATGGTTGCTCAATCAATATTTCCTAATTACTGATTGAGTATCAGACACAGTTGAAAACATGAGTTAGTGAACCAAAAATGTCTTAGTTTCTGTAACGGTAGGCAGAGCCTACCATTTGTCTAAAGACCTCAGAATGAGCACTCTCTGAGTAATAAACCCCACAAATTGGATATTTGTGTAGATCCAAAGAGATCAACATCTCAGAAGAAATTCTAGTCTCTGAGAGCAACGGGATTTTCAGAAACTGCTCGTTTTGTTTTGTTTTTTTGAATTTAAAGAGGCCTAAGGAAGTTGAAACATCCACAGACTTCTTTCTAAAAAGAAGCAATCACAAGAGCTCCTTAAATTTCTCTTGCATCGTCAAATGGCCCTTGAAACAACCTTAGAGATAGAGCGGGCAGTTATTAAACCCCAAGGGGTACAGAAGGCTAGATTAACTCTTTTCCAACTTACTTCATTAGAGCACATCAACACACTACATATTTCTGGACTTTATAGGATTATACAATTCCTAAGAAGTTGGTTTCTAGAGTGCCTAGTCCTATGAAAGATGCTGAAAACTTTCTCTCTGGCATTTTGTAATCCACTCGAACTCTTATTTTAATTACCTGAAGCCTTCCCACGAAGTCTTTCAGATCCACTAGGTCAAGTCCAGAATTCTACAAGGATCCCAAGCCATGACCTTCATAGCCATGTATAATTAACGGAACCAACTCTAAAATGCCTCACACTGTAGTCACTACGGCAAAAATCGCTTAGGTTTTTCTGTAGGTCGCCGACCAACCACTCCTTTGCCTCTGCATTTTAGGGTCTGGAACTAAGACTCCATTGACTTTGGCATCTGGGTTCTTTTCTAATACCCGAGAACGCTGACTAGAAAACTGTCAGAAATAAAGAGTTAGTCCCCGAAATGGGGCTCCGTTTCTCTCTGATCCTGCCAGTCCCCTAAGGCAGAGGCAGGAATTTCCCTCTCGCTTCGGCCTAAACTCCGACAGTCTCGGTCCTACAGACAGGATTCTTTTCCTGCATTCTGTGCATCAGACATAATGATTTTGATTCGTATATTTAAACTATGGGGACCAAGAGACGGAACAGTCAGAACACAAGCGCTGAGACAATTTTTCCTGTCAGGGACCTCGGGTCAAGAGATGCCTTCCTCGGGATGTCTCAGTTGCAGTTACAACTTGAAGAGTTAAAACAAAAATCCCCTACATCGGAGGCAATTCAGAGTCCCTTGCAGCAAAGTTGCCCCACCACCTATGCGTCCCTCCAGGACTACACCAGTCTTCAGCTCGCCGTCAGCGCTCTCCTCAGCTCAAGACTTCCGGAAATAATAGGAACTACCCGGGCTCGGGGTGGGGGTGGGGGGTGGGACTTGGTCTCCAGGCAACGGCAACGGCAACTGCGATAGGCCGAACCGCCTACAACTGAGCCCAATGGCCAGACGCCTTGTCAACGCTCAGCGAGGCGACTGCGGCTGCGCGGGAGATTCGAATCGACGGTGCTACTTGCTCTCCGTGTAGTTGGACCTGCTGCCGGCCCTCGTCCTTTAGAGATGGATAACACGGAAAATGTCTTTCAGTAAGTGACCGTCTGATGGGGTGGAGGCGAAGCGAGGTCTTTATCCCCGGCTACGGGCCCCCGAGGGGCTAGGTGGCCCTGTTCCTCAGCCCGGCCCGGTCCGCCCCTCACCAGCCTCTTCCTACCCGCTTCGCCCCTTTCCGGGGCTTTGGAGTTTATCCCACCCTGACCGGGCTGCACTCCTCGGTCACCCGTGTGGCAGGTGGTCGGTCACCTCTGGCACCCCGCTGTCGTCCGTCCAGCGCTGCCCTAGTGACCGTTTGGAGGGATTTGGGCATTTTGTGAGGCCCTCGGAGACCTTGTTTATTCCGTTAGGAACCCCCACTGGACAGATAGCCTCTGGAAGAAACATGTCCATCCATCAGAAACTCAAACCTTGTGTGATTTAGGTTTTGTGAGAAAGTTTCAAAACCTCGTATTTAAAAATTCTCCTACAGTAGGAAATTTACACTGCTGCCTTATCGATGACCCTAGCGTTACTTTTGAAGTCTTTGGATGCACTTTATAGGACAAAAAAAATGCTTTTCTTATTGCTGAGCTATTTATGCTAGCTTCCTAACAATTTTTAATTTTTTCTCACATTTGTTTTATGGCTTAGGAGACTGACTGTCTAGCCTATGATTAAAAGGCACTTAAAAACGATTAAATCACATGTGAAGGTAAAACGTGTTCATTTTATCGGTTCTTTTGTGATCAGAAGACTAAGGTTGTTAATATAGTGAAAACAAGTCTGTTTGCTTTAAGATTTTTTTCCCTTAACCTTCATTATAACCAATAAAGTATTCTCTTTTGGAAGCTTTATAACTCTCAACTCCCCCCCCACACACACACACCCTTGTAAAGGGAAATAAGATATGTCTGACCTTATTTTGGCCTGTGAAAAACTGATTTGCTCTGGTGAACCCGGTATTGTGTGTAGTATTTAAGCAATTTTTCTGGGGAATGTGCTTGGTGTGAAAACATGAAAGGTTTACCCTGGGCAAATGTTATATGCATATTACACATATTTTAGGGAAAAGGTTCTGACATAAGGATTTTTCCTCTTGTGAAACGTGAGAGAGATTCAATGTACAGGCAAGTACTTTTAAATTTTAAAAATAATGTATTTATGTGATTTTTTTTAAAAAAAGATTTAGAAAAGTATTTACAGAACTCTTATACTTACTTGTCTTCTCTACTCCATCATGTATAACCGTTTTTCTAGTTTATTTTTCAAATGTTCCTTTTTGAAAATGTAAATACTTATATATATATAGTTTGTGTGCTTATATGTGTATCTAAATTTCCTGCCTTGTCTCACATAAAATATAGTACAGCAACACTGCTTTTTTTGCATAACAATATCTTGGAGATTTCTGTGAATACAGCATGGTGGCACACATGTGAAATTCTAGCACTCAGGAAGTTGAGGCAGGAGAATCTCAGTATTGAGGCCACCCTGGGCTACATAGTAAGACTCGTCTCCAAAAAGAAAAAAAAGAGAGAAAAGAAAGAATGAATGAAAAAAAGAATGAAAAAAACTTTTATTTTTTTTTTTACAACTGCATAATATTTCACATACCATAATTAATCTAAACAGTCTTCTATCAGTAAATGCTTGGATTGCCGACAATCTTGTTATTACAAATAGTATTGTGGCAAAGAAAAAATGTGCATCTGGCATTTTGCCTGTACACAGCTGTATCTGTTTTCTGGATTCCCAGAGATGGGTTTGCTGGATCACAAGCAAATCCATTTGTGATTTTGGTAGATATAGTGGCCCCCTCTTACCTAGAGTTTCACTTTCCATGATTTCAGTTATCTGTAGCCAGTTGTCATCCAAACATTTTAAATGAAAAATTCCAGAAACAAACAATTGTGAGTCCTAAGTTGTGTGCTATACTAAGTAGCCTCAGGAATTCCTGCATCTTCTTGCACTGCTCTGTCCCACCTGGGAAGTGAATCATTCCTTTGTCCACTATATTCAAGTTGTACAGCTACCTGCCTGCTAGACACTCAGTAGCCTCAGTTATCAGATCTGTCTGTTATGGTATCTGCGGAGCTTGTGCTCAAGTAAACCTTATTTTACTAAATAATGGTCCCAAAGCACAAGAGTGGTGTTGCTGGCAATTCACATATGCCAAAGAGAATCCATAATGTGCTTCCTTTAAATGAAAAGGTGAATAAAAGTATTTCACTTAATATGAAAAGAAAAATAATTGTATGCTGAGGTTGCTAAGATATATGGTAAGAATGAATCTTCTATCCATGAAATTGTGAAAGAAGAATAAATAAATGTGTGCTAGTTTTGCTGTCATACTTCAAACTTCAAGGGTTATAGCTATCATGTATGATAAGTACTTATCTAGGAAGTAAATTAAATTTAGGGGTGGAATACATGAACAGAAAAAGTGTTCCAAATGACAGCAGTGTGTTGCACCAGAAAGCAGTGGGCCTGTAGGAATACTTCACCAAGGGGTCCTCTGATACAAGTGACACATTTACTGCAAGTAAGAGATGGTTACAGGGATTCAAGAATAGTTTGGGACTGAAAGCTACAAGAATTAATTGGAGTGATTGCATCTGCTGAAGAAATTGCTGTCATATTTCCAGCAGTTGAAGAAGTTGATTAAGGAGAAAGAACACCATCCAAAGAAAGTCTTAAATTGTTTTATCTTATTATTGATTATTGGTGTTAACCTCTTATGGTGCCTTATTTGTCAATTAAATTATATTACTGGTACATATGTAAAATTTGTAAATCAAACCTTATTACAAATATATATATACACATATAGTATATGAAAAAGCATAGTATGGATGTGGTTTAGTACTATACATGGTTTCAGGCATCCAGTAGCAGTCTTAGACAAAGGGGGACTATTATATTGCCAATTTGCTTGGCCAACTTTGGGCACCCTCTTACCTGCCTGCAAGCAAGATGTGAAAACCCCTGCTTGTCATTGCTTACACACTCTTGGGACTTTTTCTTTTTTTTTTTAGTTTTCCCAATCTATGGGATGAGAAGTCATATCTCATTGAGGTGAATTTTTCTTATGAAAGAGGTTGAACATCTTTTCAAGTTTGAGACCCATTTGTATTTCTGTGAAATGCTTTTTTTTTAATGCCTTCATCTCTTTTTTCATAATTGGGTTGATAGGTATTTTTTACTCTCTCAATTTTTAAAAATCCCTTTGTTATCTCAGCTTTCTCTTTCAACCCTGCTTGTCAGTTCTTAAATTTGTTTTGTTTAGTTTATATGTACGAGCTTTTTATTAGCATACATTGTAGTTGATTTTAGGGAGAGAGGGTTCTTTGAGACAGGGTCTCGCTATGTAGTTTAGACTGGTCTTGAACTCACCATGTAGCCAGGCTACCCTCAAACTCGAGGAGATACTCCTGCCCTCAGCCTTCCAAGTGCTGGGATTAAACACATGTGGCACCGTGCCTAGCTATAGTTTATTTTTATGTAGTTTTTTTCTATTCAGACTTCTGAATTTTGAGTCCAAAGGTACGCAGGTTTCATTTGTATACTTAAACATTAGCTAGAAGAAAGTGTTGTTTAAGATTTTCCCTCAACTTTCTGAAGTTCCTTAATGAGTCTCTGGAATAAACTGACCATGAATTAAGAGAAAAGGCAAAAAAATTTTATGTGCAAATTCACAGGTACCTCAAAATAAAACAGAAATGAAAGCTCGCCTCAGAGAAAGTCTGTGGTTTACTTCACTAATGTGAATTGATGTAAATTTCCTTTATAGAAGAATAGCTTTTCGGAGCCATTCCTGTTGGTAGTTTCTCTGTGAACAACCAACTCAAAATATGCCAGAGAAGTCACCTACAAAAATAATGCTTTTAAATTCCCTTAAAAAAAACCTTATAATTTCTCAGATAGAAAACCTAAGTGTCTTTCTTAACTTGCTTCTCACACCTAGAATGTGGTAAGCCACATTCTCTCCTTCTCTAACACATGTGCCAGATTACACACTATACTATCCCAATCTATTTCAACTCAGCAATCATTGGGCTTCTGGAATAGCTTCCTAACTGGTTTCCACTTCTGTTGCTGCCACCACCACCTACTCTTGGAAGAACCAAATACACATTTTAAAATGCAAATTAGAACTTACTACCTCACCTTCCTGTGCTGTCACATTTAAGTCATGGTTCTTTCTTTGTCCCTGGAAGAGGCTAGTTCCTGAAGATTTTTGGGCCTTGACTGTTTCTCCCAGCATAGCTGTGTGGCTTTCTCACACCGATCAAAGGTCACCCCTCAAAAAGCTGTGGTTGAATATGTGTGAGTAAAGAAAGCGGAGTTCTCTGGGAGCTCTGGTTACTGGTTAATTTATGAGTATTTCCACCATCGCTCTTTTTCAGGGACAATGTGTTACACTGGGGCCCAGGAAGCAAACTATCTGGAATCTCCAAGTTGTAGTAACCAGGCTGCTACCCTCACTCACAAGCTCTGGTGACTGGTTGGTTTATGAGTATTTCCACCATCGCTCTTTTTCAGGGACAATGTGTTACACTGGGGCCCAGGAAGCAAACTGTATCTGCAGTCTCCAAGTTGGAGTAACCAGGCTGCCACCCTCACTCACAAGCCCTCTTTGGATCTGTCCAGCCCTGCCTCAGACAGGCTCCTAGGAAACAAGGGGAAGGGTCTGAGCAAGGCCACACCTTAATGTCACTGTTAGAAGAAAGAGCAGCAAGCTTCCTATCTCTGCCCACTGGTGGTAGTAACACTGGGGACCAGGGAGAGAAGGAGACTCAAACTTTGTTGTAGAGAAGCACTGACTATTTCTGAATTTTTGACTACTTCTGAATGAATGCTTTCTTAAATTTTATATATCATTTGTGTTGATATTTAAATTTCTGTTTAAAAATATATAAATACATATATGATGAAATATATCTTTTGCCCTTAGGAATTATCTCTAATATCCTATGTGTACACTTTTCTTCTAGAATGTTTGAAGCCCATATGCAGAGCTATAAGGGCAATGACCCACTTGGCGAATGGGAAAGGTTAGCATTTAGTTTTTTTGTTTTGTTTTTTTCCTTTATACCAACCATTTGCTACAGTATAAAAAAATTAACATTGTTCTATTTTTCTAGTTATATGCAATGGGTAGAAGAGAATTTTCCTGATAATAAAGAATACTTGGTAATGTTATTAGAACATTTAATGAAGGAGTTTTTAGATAAGAAGAAATACCACAGTGACCCAAGATTCATCAGTTATTGTTTAAAATTTGTGAGTATACTTTCAGATGGATAACAAATCTAAAATTATATTGTACTTTTGCTTTTTTTCCCTAGATTTTAAGATCATTTTAAATTGCCTTTTAATTATTTTATTTTAATTCTTTATTTATAGTCATAAATTTTTAAAAGTTGTATGGCCAGAAATGTGTATTTTTGGAGCCTTGTCTTCTGTATTATGGAGCTAGTAATTTAATCTAAAAAACCCTCTTTATTTCAAGTGTGTAAATGTTCTGACATTAAATAGAAACAAAAAAAATTAAAGTTTATTGTCTAGGATGTATGCTTGGGGGAGGGAGCATAAGCAGACACTCTCAGGTTCTTAAAGGGTTTTGGGGAGTAAAATAAATTCATTGTGGTATAGTAATGAAAATTTTAATTCTCAAAAACTGAATTTAGTACTAAAAGGAGAATGCCTCAGGTTGTAAATACTGGTGCTCTTTAATCTGGAATAAAGATGTGAGGACTTGAGTAATGGAATCATGAATGGAATAGATAGGGTAAATACGAACTTGTTCATGAAAATACAATTACTACAGTTAGAGGCACCCTGTGGAACTTGAGTAAGCTCAGATTAAGACAAAATAATGCTTTATATAATGGGTTATTATAGACCCCACTATCTTGAGAAATAGTGTAATTTGGGGGTAATTGAATGTCGAGGAAGTAAATGAACCTAACCTGTGTCTTTGCCATCTGTCCTTGGGCCTCCATGAAGACTAAACGGTAGAGGCTGGCTGCATCTGGACCAGACCTACATTAGGAGTTCCACTGTTCTTATGTCTTTTTATTTTTCTTAGTATATTTATTTTAAATTGGCATAATAAGTGTACATATTTATGAGGTACCATGAGATATTTGCATACATGTATACAGAATGTAATGATCAGACCAGGACAATTGACATATTTATCACTTCAGACATTTATTTTTATGTTGAAAACATTCAAAACCCTCTCTACTAACTATTATGAATATAAAATTCTCACTCAGTTATCCTACTTTTCTACAGAAAGTAGTTATTGTTCCTCCTGTCCAGTTGTACCCCTGTACCTGTTAACCGGCCTCTCTCTACCCCTACCTCATTGTTCTTACATGCTCTGTGTTCCTATAGGCTGAGTACAACAGTGACCTTCATCAATTTTTTGAGTTTCTGTACAACCAGGGGATTGGAACCCAGTCTTCTCCTCTGTACATATCCTGGGCCAGGCATCTGGAAGCCCAAGGACAGCTGCAGCATGCCAGTGCCATTTTTCGGAGAGGAATTCAAAACCAGGCTGAACCTAGAGAGCTATTGCAACAGCAGTACAGGTAGTTCCAAATAGAGCTTACAATGTTTTCTACCTTGAAATGGAACATTTGCTCTTAAAAATTATATTGTTATCTATTTATATAAGGAAATCCTAGTGAAAAATATGGTCAATACAGAGTAGTGTAAAGAACTGCCTAGAAATATTACTCTCAGCATGTTAGTGCATTTCTTTTCAATAGCTTTTCCTGTGCCCATGTGTGTCCTTGTTTATTTATTTTAGCAGTGAATCATACCGAATGTCTGGTTATACATACTGAGCTTTGTACTGCTCTTAAGAAATTATGGACTTTTAAATTACTTCTAAAGTGCTTGTGAAGTCTGTCACAAAGTTGTGTCATAATTTAACCATTCTCCAATTGGACATTTAAGTTATTTACAATATTTTGGTTTTTATAAAGAAAAACAATCTTAATCTGTTTTCTGTTGTTCTAAATGAACACCACAGATGGAATAATTTATAAAGAATAAAAATTTGTTCAGCTCAGTTATATAGGCTGGGAGGTCCAAGGTCAAGAGGTCACATCTGGAGGGGGCCTTCTTGTCGATGGGGACTCTCTGGAGTCTCCAAGCAGCACAGGGCATCACAAGATGGTAAGAGACAGAGCCAAACTAGCATTTATAACAAGCCCACTGGAGATAACCCATTATCCTGTGAATAGAACTAGCCTGTTCAGAAAGGCAGAACCCTCATGCCTAACCATTTCTTAATGCCTCACAGTGGGGATTAAATCTCAACATGAGTTTTGGTGGAGTCATTCAAACCATAGCAAACAATAAATATCATGATTAATACCCTTTTTTTCACCATTTTAAATTGGGGGCAGTTAAATGAACCTCATTTGGGAAATTTTTAAAATACAGAAAACTAAATTAGCACGAGCAACCTTTCTGTATTTTCATTGGCTTTGTTTTGTTGTTCTTGTTACAGGATTGTAAAGCATGCTTTACATCATGCTATGTAAGCAGCTTTGTATTAAGGTCTTTTCTCTTTTTTCATAAAAGTATTTTTAATATATTTTCTATTTTTATCTACTTCCTTCTGATAGATTCTCAAAATTGTAGGTATTGCACCAAAGGGTATGGAAAGAGTTTTAAGCCTTGTGGTGCATATAATCAAACCACCTATTCAAAGGCTGTCCCCGTTTTTCACTGTCTTCTCAGCAGAATTAGAGACCTATTATCCTTTGCATCCTTTGCCAGCATTTAATATAATCACTTTTTTCAACTTTGCTGTAGTGCTTGTGCTTTGAAAACTTTATTATGAGAATTTTTGAACATACATGAAAAATTAACAAACCTCTATTTCTAGTTCATCTGCTTTTAATAATTATTAACATTTGATGAGTAATTTAAAGCAGACCTAAAACAGCAAAATATTTTAGTCCAAACACTACCACCTCCAAAAGATTATTTCTTACAGAATTTTATTCCATAATCACACCTAACAAAAAATGATTCTTTAATATTATCTGTTTTTCAATCTTTTCCCATCTGTGAAGTGGTTTCATTACCATTGGTTTGTTAGGATTAAGAGCCAAATAAGGTTTAGCATTTGGCTGTACATCCCTTTATAACATGCACTCTTACTTGCATTACTCAAAAATGTTAGGCTTGAGAGTTGCACATTATTTGACAGAGTTGATGTGTAAAAAATAGCATGAAGTGACATATTTGAGAAGTTCTCACAAAGCATGAATGATATTTTGAAGGAGTGGTCTTAAATTTTGTACTTTTAAGCTTTTCTTCCAAGCATTATCTTCATTTTGTCCAGATATATAAAATGCCTCAGGTATGAATTAAAACACCTGTGTTATAATATTTGCAGCCTTGATACATGGAAAAAGAAACATTTCTTATGTGAATTTGAAAAATACTGACATAACAAGTCAAAAGGAGGAATAAGTATATTGGATATAAAGATATTCCTGGAATTTTATTTTATTTTATTTTATTTTTTTGGTACTGGGGATCAAACTCAGGACCTTGTGCTTGCCAGGCAGGCATTATCCCACTGAGCTAAATCCCTGGGCCTGGAATTTTATTTTTTGATTTTGAAGCAAACCTGAAATTCAATTTTACCTTCTCTCTCAACCATTGTCTTTATTAGGTTATAATAAACTGTCTATTGTATTAGGTTTCCACCTTAAAACAGGCATATGTTAAACTATAAATTTATAATCTGTATTGATGTCTTTTCTACTATTATTAGGTTATTTCAGACACACCTAACTGAAACCCATTTGCCAGCTGAAGGTAAGATAATACTTTCTAAAATTTCTAGATTGTTGATAAAAATTTCTAAATTTTTGATTTAGTGTCTAATTTTTTCCCTTAGAAATCAAATCCATCTATTATATACATATACCAACTCCCCACAATAATGTAATCATTATATACTGCAAACATGTACTAATGAAGGAGTCATATCCACCTAGTATTTACAAATTATACTGTCTTCCAGGAAATAGGAAGGCACTCAGATAATAACACTGCCCCTTAAATAACCCTACACAGCAGGAACTCTGTCTCAGTACTTTAAAAGAGAAAACCAACAACCCAATCTTGAAGATTTCACCATATTTGAGGGATTAAAAAAAAAAATCAAGTTTGCCCAAAATAGAGGATAGTGCAGACTCCATGTGTTGTGAATTGAATGAGATGTCTTTAATGCAACTTTTAGGACATAATGGCCTTTTATTTTTCTTGTAGAAATAAAGATCATATTTCAGGAATAAGCATTGGCTCTCCTAGCCTGCTTAAAATACCTAGTTAGGTTTTACATTTCTTTCAGCTATTTCCTCGAACATTTTTAATTGGTCAGAAAATGGTCTCTAATACTTTTCTAAAAAGAGTTTTAGTTCATTTTGTGAGATTTTGTAAATAAGTTGATTTTTTTTTAATGCTGTTTACTGAAAGATCAAGAGAATGTATTGTGATAATTTTATTTAATATGATTTTTCTCTTATTTTTTATTTCATCTTCTTTTCTTTCATAGCTAGAATCTCAGAACCTCTGCATAATGCTCAAATTAAAAACCAAATGGTAACATCAAAATCAAGTCCAGTAAAGAACTCAGCCTGTGTTTCTAAGAATCAGGTAACAATGTTATAGGCTATAGAGAAACTAGGAATGGTACTAAAAAGCCATCCTAGCTGCCTTCCGTATCCACTACATTATGTTTCTTTAACCATGTGACTAACCCATCAGCTACCTGTTTCCATGGCAGCTTTCTGGGCCTGTTGTCATCTTCCCGTGCTTAACTTAATAATAATTTGTTATTGAGCCTAGGACCCCTACTACACAACCTCCTATCTTTACTTCCTCCCCAACAACTCCTGTCCTACCAATGCCCTCTCCTTCCTGTTCTGCTGGGCTCTTTCATAGACCCAGACTCAGCATTTCCCTGGATCTGAACCCTGCCTAAAAGTCCCAGACCTTCAACCAGGCCTTTGATACTCCTAGGCAACTGTGTTTCCAGTATCCCAGATCACCCTTTATATGTGTTTTTAATGTCTCCCCTCTTCTTTCTTTTGATATGCTAGATTATAATAATTTTAAGCTTCCTTTTACTCTCCTCAAACTTGGGACCTATCTACCTCTAACTTCTCTCTCATAAGCTGGAAAAAATACTGTACTATTTTGACAGGGGAGCAGAAATTATCAGATGACATCTTTTAATTTTCTGTCACCCATCAGTAAATACAACTGCATCATTCCCTGCCATTCCAGTGGGGAAGCATAGCCTTCCACTTATGCCTGTTTTTAATCCTCACAGAGATTTGTTTCCCCTGTGAAGAGCTTTTCTTCTCTGGCAGCTTATCAACATGTGAAAATGCTCAAGTCTCTCCTCCCCTCCACTTTGTTTCAAAGCTTTCTTACCAAGGACCTCCTTGAATTTTAATCTAATGGAGATGTTTCTGTTTTACTAATATAACACTTCTCCAAATGTAGACTATTGTACTGGGCATTAAATCCATGCTAGCCAAGTGTATTACCACTAAACTACACCCCATCTCTTTTTATTTTTTGAGACAGACTCTTGATAAATTGCCTAGGCTGGTCTTGAACTTAACAATCCTTCTGCCTCAGCCTCCCAAGTACACACCTGGGATAACAAGTATGCACCACCATGCTTGGCACATTTCTCACTTTTATAGATAGTACAAACTGTCTTGATTTGATTTTCATCCTATACATGCTTGCCAACCTTCTTACTTATTCCTACATCCCCTGTCTAAGCTTTTTAGACAGAAGAAATGGGTCTCATTGATGGTCATATTTTCCCAGACCTAGCTCATTGTGTAACATGTGTGAAGTGTTCAATAAATACTTGTTTAGAGAATGAATGCTATGCTAATATTGGGAACTTTCGAGGATATAGTAATACCAAAAGAGAAATTTAATTTTTTTTAAAGTTGCTTTCTTATTGGGCCTAAGAAAATTTAAAAGGCCCCTTCCTCTTGAGCATTTTCATATTGATTTGTGAAGTAATTTGGATGAAGATTGCTTTTCAGTAACTGAATGTTCATGTTTGTTTTCTATCTTTTAGGGTTCAGAACTTTCCAGAATGATACCTTCAGCTTCTGATAAAGAATCAAATATGCAAGTACAATCAGTGCATTGCTCTAGTATTTGTATTCCTTCCAGAGTTCCTTTAGTACATTGTTGCAAATAATGTTTTTAGTATATGTGCTGCCGAAGCGAGCACTGCAAATAATGTTTTTTTCTCTGTAGGGAACAAAGGGTGATCGTGATTTCTAAATCAGAATACTCCACACACTCATCTTCGGCCGCAAAAGCTGATGTTCAGCAAGTTGTTATGTACTGCAAGGAGAAGCTTATTTGTGGAGACTCAGAATTTTCCTTTGAAGAACTAAGAGCCCAGAAATACAACCAACGGAGGAAGCATGAGCAATGGGGTGCTTGCAGTCTTATATTTTCAGATGACTTAACATAATAAGTGATTACATTTTTGATTGAATAATTGACTCTGCTGACTCAGCAAAAACCGTCTCCAGCTCATCCTATCACAAACCTAGAAACCTTTGTTAAACACACACATAGCAGCCCTGTTTTTCCAAGAACTAAACTCATGTCTTGATAGCAGAACTCATGGTTAAAATAGCACTAAAATAGATATCCATGCCAGTGTTACCGTATCTTTAGTGCAATAAGATATTTTAAAGTTTTTAAGTATTATCTCTATGGATTTGAACTATTACGTATAATAATTCTAAACCTGTATGTCACTATTTGTACTGTGAGAGGATTAGGTTGGGAACTGAAGCTCAGAAAGAGATTTTCCAAATTCTGTACCTACTACAAACAAAATATGATTGGGAATCCTCTGATCAAAGTGCCATGTCATTTATGGCTATAGAGTAGATTGAATTTTGTTCCTCCCAGAGAAAAATGTGTGCCTTAGCATCAGTGTTTGCATTTGGTTTTTACTGTAACAACATAGACCTTAGGGAGAGGAAAATGAACCTTTGTTTCCACTTAGGGTTTTTATGTCATCTCTGTTAATTGAACTATATCCATCTGTGAGCCTTTCTTTTGTTCATTACTCTTTATATTTGGTCAACAACAGAACACTCATGGAGGATCCATTTGGGAATTTGGTTTATTGATTTTTGGTTTTTGAGACAGGGTCTCACTACGTAATCCAGGCTGGCCTTGAACTCACTGTGTAGCACAAGCTGGCCTCAAACTCATGGCGATCCTCCTGCCTCAGGCTCCCAAGTGCTAGGATTACAGGTGTGCCCCATCACACCTGGCTGAAAGACCCATTTTGGGTAGTACATGGATAATGTTATCTTTCATGTGCTATATGACTTAAAGTTCCAGCCAGACCCCAGTTTGTCTGGGGTGTGGCCAGGGGAGCCAGTTACTGGAAGTAGGACTGGATCTTTAGTGCACTTTTCTTTTATTTCTTAGAAAGTACCTAGAGAATTCTTATCTTTTAAAACCTGAAATGAAAAATCATTTTTAAATGACTTGCACAATCATGATTATTTTATGAAAAGGTTTAGTATTCTACTGTGCTATTTCCAAATATACTATTGATCACTATAAATTTGTATAGCCTATATGCCCTGAATTTAATAGTAACTATGCTGAGGGCAAGTAAAGATTATAATTAAAAGGTAATGCAAATTTCAGTCATGAAATCTAATAAACATTGAAAATATCTTTTACTCACTTTGCATGTTTTCCTCTAGTGACCTGGATTGAAGGTTTACATACAAACCATTTTTTTACTCTTTCCTAAAGGAAATGAAGACAGACATTATATGAAAAAGAAAGAAGCAAATGCTTTTGAAGAACAACTGTTAAAACAGAAAATGGATGCACTCCACAGGAAATTGCATCAAGTGGTGGAGCTATCCCACGAGGACCTGCCCGCTCTCCAGGAAAGCTCTGAGGTATGTATGTGCTCTTCACTGGCACATCCTGTGCTCAGCATGGTGATTGTTGTGCTCTTGCCTTGTTTTTAGAGGTAATTCTCATTTAGTTAATAACTTTCCAAATTTTCAAAATAATTTGACACAGATTTTCAAAATACAGAATGAGCAAAGGAATATATTTTCATATATGTGTATGTGCACGAGTTTATATATTCACCTATTAGTGTGTATAGTTCTTTTTTCTGGCTTTTGTACAATGAATACATTACATAGTGAGAATTTGAATATATGTAGTTATTGTCATCTAGATATATTTGCCATTGTTTCATGTCAGAAGAAGAGAAAAGGAGTGTTAGAGCCATATATATTTTCTTAAAATTATTAAAAGGTGGGACAGGTTGGGAAAAAATTTAAGCTATATAACAGTTACTAACTATTTAATACACTGTATATCCATCTATAGCATAGGATACCAGGAAGATAAATTAATAAATTACTGAAGTACATATTTCAAAAATTATAAAACATACATGACAATGATGACCTCTTAAAAATTGAATAAAAGATGTGTGTAAATGTAGGGATGTCTGTTATGTATGTGTATCAGGGTAAGCATTCATTAGTTTATGTATGTATACACACTTGTACATATATATCAATGAATGCTCATTGCTAATTGCTATAGCTTGCATTTTTATAGACATTTACAGTGCATGAAAACACAGAACTATGAGTACAGTTGGAGTTTCTGCATAATTAGGACTTATTTTTTGCTTTTTCTACCTAACATGTCTTACAGATCTGTCATTATTACTACAGAGAATTTCAGTTCCTTATATTGCAACATAGTGTAGCTCTTACCTAGCTTAGGTATAATAAGCTTCTTTTTACATATGAGATTGTTTCCCCAGAAAACATAGATGTAGAATTGCTGCCTTTGAAGTTCATGTACCTAAAATACTGTCAGTTTCTGCCTTATAAAAATTTAGCGTTTTACATTCACAACAAAAGTATGTAAAACTACTTATTTCTTACACACACATTGCTAACATTAACTATTTTAAATATTTTCAACCACCTAATATAGGTTTGTTTGGTTTTTTGGTGGTACCAGGGATTGTTTTATGTTTTCTTATTTAATTTGGATTTATTTTCGTCTATAATTTATGTTTTCCCTGGATAATTGACTCATTACTTTTTTATTCTTGGTACTTATCAGTCATTTATCCCCACATTGTGAGGAAACTAAAACTATACTTTCATTATATTCAAATGTATCATCTCTTGCATGTCTAATACCATCTTTTTTTGTTTTTTGCACGTTATTAAATTCTTTTATTGGTACATTGTAGGTATACAACACAATGACATTTCTCATTGGAAATTGTACCTTTATATAATGCATCTTGGTTTTTATTTTTTCCCCATTCCTAGCCCTCCCTTCGCACCCTCCACCCTTGCCTATTTACAAAGACTT